TGGGGGGGACAGAGGAAGAGGGGAGGTCAGCCTGCTGTTTGGGGGGGGAGGAAGGGGAAGTTAGCCTGCTGTTTGGAGGAGGGGAAGGAACTCTCTTTTGAGCAACAAGGCAGGTATTGAGAGTATAGAGAGTGACAGTGGCCTGGCCTGGCTTAGACACCAGGGATGGGAGGAACCAAATGCCCAGTGGGTTTGAGGGAGAACCTCCCACCCTGTCTATGTGCCATGTAAACTTAACTTGATTCAGACCTACTAAGGGTATTTGGGGTTCCAACCCAAAGGACAGTGAAGAAAAGATAACAAACATTTCTATGGTGCTTTCAAGTTTGCAAAGTGCCTTCTAGATAGCAAGTCCTAGGAGCCTCAAAATGACTCTGTGAGACAAGGCTATTATGAGCACCCTCATTTTACAGATGAGGAAACTGAGGCTAATAAAGGAGAGTGACTAGCCCACAGCTCCCCAGCTAGTGTCAGAGATGGTATCTGACTCCAGGTCTTCCTCATTCCAAAGCCAGAATGCAGTCCCTTTGCCAACTGTTTCTGAGCAGGTGCTGGGAGCCTAGCCTTAAGGATGTTTTTTACTTCACTTGTCTTGGTAGGAAGTACTTGTTACTCACATGAAGAGACCTTAGCCTGTGTCATTCACAGCCTCTTCTTCACTCCCCCCATTTATGAGGGTAACAAGGTTAGAGCACTTGGAATTTGGCCCAAACACACAGATAGGTAGTTGTTTGCCAGCTGAACTGACCAGAATTCATCAATCATCATCTCCTTCTTACAAATTGTATAATGGAGATAATTTGTGCGAGTGTGCACACCCACACCCACACACAAACCCCCCCCCCACACACACACATCCTGAAAAGAATGCTTCCTGGGCTCCCTGGGAGTTGCTTACCCACTAATAAGGTGTGTGAATGGGGTGCCAGCCAGCAACAGTGGAACAAAAACCAGTAACAGATGACATTTATCTGACCCTGTAAGTTTTGCAAAGTACTTCCCATCCAATATTTCACTTAACTGACTGCTCCCTCAGAAAGCCATTGCTTGGTGGTGCAGAGACTCATCCACCCCCCCACCCCCAGCTGTCCCTTTGCTTCTGACCAGCTGCAGGGGGCAGTTGGAGGATGTAGACAATGGCAGCACTGGAAAAACATGGAGACCACCATGGAAGGTCAACCCTTTCATTAAACAGAAGAGAAAAATGAGACCCAGAGAGAGCCTAAGGCCATGGCTACTCGGTGGCAGAGCCAAACTTAGATGCCAGGTCTCCTTCCGAGTCGTTGAACCAAATAGAACATAGAATGCATGAGGTGGGGGGGGGTAGAGAAACTAATGGAAAATAAGGCTAGAAAGGTGGGATTGGGTGCAGATTATGAATGGCATCCAATGCCAAGTTTGGAGAATGTATATTCGATCTTGGGGCAAGAGGGGGCATTCCTGTTGCTGGAATTCTGGAGATTTTTTCATCAATCTTGTCTTCTGTCATTAAACATGGCACATATATGATTGCAGGGGGTGGGGGTGGGGGTGGGGGTGGGGGTGAAAATAGCACCCAAACCTTGAGGTCAAAGAACATTTCAATTCTGAGTGGATCCGAATATTTTTATGAAAAGCTGCTACATGTACCATTAAGCCACTAAAAAGAAAATGGTCAGTGGCAACTTGTCTTTAAAGTTGGGTGAGAAGATTTCATGAACCTTCCGGCAAAACACTTAGAAGACTTAAATAAAGTAGCAGTCTTCAGAGGGTTTGAGAAGGCAAAAGAATCAGTAGTGGCTTCCTAATAGATCAGGAAGCAATTCAAACAGAAAGGCACCGGGAGTGTTGTTTTGTGCTGATAATAGCCAACCTTTGTACAGTAATTCCTTCCCTCCTTAGGGCCTGAAGCTGCCTGTCTCTTAGAAAGATGGACAAGCTTATGGCACGGCATACTACCAACAGCCTCACCCTGCTCCCAAACCAGGCAGAAAGCAATGCTGAGAAGTCCACTCCAGGCTTTACCAAAGCTTTGAAAAGCGGAGCCAGTGTGTCAGTTACATATCGATGTCCAGCCACAATGGATATGTTCAATGATCTAGGGGTTCTTTACCTTAAAACAAAGTCTTGGCCTATTAAGATCACAGGGCTTAGAGACACTCCTCCCTGCTAGAATAGTTAAGGTAATGGTCATCACTGCAATAGAGATCAGCTAATC